AGGCTATATCTTTTGATAGCTGGGCACCATCAGCTTTCTTCACCACATTTGCATATGCACCCTTTTGTCTTCAGCGATGCTCGTACAACTCTTATCACAATCCATACATCCATCCATTGTGTCAAGCACATTTGTACATTTATTGCCATCATCATTCTCAAAACATTTGCTTTCTGCATGAGCCCTTGGTATCAGCTCCTCAGAGCAAAGAATTAACAATGGGGTATCACAAATTTTGACAAGACCCCTCCTCTTTTAAAGTAATAATAACTTTTATATGAGCCTTTTACTGTGGTATGGATGAAAGTTTAGAACTCATTTATTTGCCATCCAGCGGTTTATACGCATTGTTTAGGATATTAGTTGTAACCCTGCAGTGCAGCAGAATGCTTCTCACTTCTTCGAGCTCCTTGTTTCCATTTTGCCCATCTTTCCTGCCCTTCTTGCCTTCTGAACTTTGTTTTTGGAAAAATGTTGCCCTGTTGGTCTCCTATTAGTGAGTGATTGATCCAATAATCGCCCTCCTCACAAGTGTTACTTCAGTTTCATCGGAAGGTCTTTGGTTTGACTTCGACATGATCCTCAGAGTTGGGTTCAGTTCCACGTTGGAAGGCTGTCTCGGGGCCATAGTCTCAGGATGCCACCAGTCTCTCTCAGACCAGAAAGTGTGGTCTTTTGTATAGTTTGAATTTTTCTTTTAGATGTTCAGGATTTTCTATTGTGATCCCAAACACAGTGGTCAGTCAGGGTAGCTGGGCACCTTTTGCTTCTTCTGGCCTCAGGCTAGTGAAGCCCGAGTGGCTCTCTTGGTCCTTTCAGCATTGTGGCTGATTGTTTCTTAGCGTCTTTTTACCCACAAAACATGTCTTCACTCTGTTGTTTTTGGTTTTGTTTTTGCTCCAGAGGGACTACACCAATAGTTTAACATGGCTGCTGGCTGAGACCCCGTCACTTCTCACATAAGGGGGCATGTAAGACCACTGTCTTTGTGGATTGTTGTGGCAGTTGAGTGTTCACAAGACATTGCTGCAAGTTCAGCATTTTAGTCCTTTAAGGTGTTTAAGCTGTGTTTACATTTAGATGAGGTTTTAGATGATGTCCAGAAATTCCGTTACCAGAACAAATGTATCAACTCTATGCAAGTTAAGGCTCTGTACACAAATAAAAGTTCAGAACAGCAAACTAAGAGCCATGAAGTGGATTCTTTTCTTACTCATGATGGCCCTCTAGGCCAGGGTGGACCTGTCCCATGGTGTTTCCTAGGCTCTCCCGTGCGCAGATGTGGCAGCTTTCTCCCGCGGAGTGACTGTTGGCTTTGAACCACTGAATTTGCTGTCAGTAGTAGTCCAGCGCAGCTCAGCCACTTGTCTCCAGGGCTTTTGATTTGACACCTATTGCTAAATTGTTTCAAAAATTCCTCTTAATGGGACATTTTAAAGATACCCCATTTACCTGGTAATAGCTATGACTTTGTAAAGCTCCTAAATATGCCTCACTCAGATTCTAGCTGTTAAATAAAATATAGGGATCTATTAGAATTGGATGTGGAGCTCAGTCTCATAGAATAAATACAAGCACTCTGTCCTGTTTCTCATTGACCAGGAATCATTGACATTTTGGCACAAGAAACGAATGAGGAAAAATAGTTTGAATGAAATATATATTAACTTTTGCAGGATATAGAAGACTTGGATCACTATGAGATGAAGGAAGAAGAGCCTATTAGCGGAAAAAAGTCAGAGGACGAAGGAATTGAGAAGGAAAATTTGGCAATATTAGAAAAAATTAGGAAGACTCAAAGGCAAGACCATCTAAATGTAAGCATGTAGAAGTGTCCAGGACCTACAGTTCTTGTGGTGACGTCATTATAGATATGTAAATAATGGTGGTTTATTTAAGATGTTGAACTTCGCCCCCGGCCCCCATCCCTGCTTTGGCTGTGGGTCAGCCGCATGATGGGTTGCCCTAGTTTACCTTGCTCCTTTATCCGTCAACACTTTCTACCTTGTTTAGGTAGTCTTGCGATTTGGAACCACCGCTGTTCCCTGTATGCACACCCCTTTCCACCCCATTTATACTGTTTTCTCTGGTTACCTTCCTTCTAAGGGATAGCTGTGTGTTCAAACTCAATTCATCCTGAAAAATACAATTTCATACTCATTTTCCCCCGTGAAGTTGACTTCTGATCGGTCTTGTCCTAATTAATCCAAAAGACAGTTTTCTCTGGAGTTTCCTAAAGCTTTTACTGCTACTACTACTACTTCCTCTTCCTCTTTTTCTTCTCCTTCTCCTTCTCCTAACATCTCTTTTATTCAAAGCAGAACAGAGGAATGATATGAGCACTGGATTTGGTAACAAGATGCCCATGGGGTTTCTATTTCCTCAACTCTAAAACAGAGATAAACAACTTTTGGATTGCCTTGGAGTAAAAATGAAAATGCTGTCTATCAGATGCCCAGAGTAGAGGAAATTTAAATAACAGCGTAGCAGCTCTGTATCCGCACTGAATGGTGTCTGCATTGAATCACAGGGCTCTGTGTCAACTCCATAAAATGTGAGGGCTGGGTTCTTGGTCCTGAGCACAGGTGCTCAAACAGGAGAATGAACTGTTATGCAAGTAGTTGCCAAGTGCTGTAAACAGGTAGATTGCTTGATCTCCTTCGATGACACTATATTAATTTAATTGACATTTAGCAAGTTAACTCAGCTCATATATTGATTTTTTTTCTCCCTTAATGTTTGGGACATCTGAATTAATAATACTCCCCCCCCAGCAGTTTTATTCACAATTAATTTACATATCATATAATGAAATAGTTCAGTCATTCAATCATGTCACAGAGAATTGTACAATCACCCCCATATCAACTTTGAATATTCCCCCTCCCCATGGTCAAATCACCTTTAAGATGATTGACTCATGCAATCACAATCCATTCTAGTTATGCCTGAAATCCCCCTTCCCTCCCTATTTCCCAACACCGACTCCTAATGATACTTTTTGTTTTATGATTCACTGTGTTGATCTCAATGAGAGGAAAGACAACTAGAAATTATGGAATACTTCCACATACTAGAAGTATGTTGAGGACTTTACATACTTTCACATTTACTCTTCATTACTATGCATGAAATAGCTACTCTTAAGATGTGAAAACTGGGCTTCTAAAGTCACGTAGCTAAAAATTATTCTTTGTAAACTTGATTCCCCTCCACCCCACCCCCCAGTTTTACATGGTCAGAGGCTTGCTTTTATTTTTTAAACAAAGAGTATCCAAAGAGGTTTTTTACTTAGGATAAATAGTTCAATTCCTATTCGGTCTTTTTAAAAAAATCATTTTATTGGGGGCTCGTACAACTCTTATCATACTCCATCCATCCATCCATCCATCCATCCATCCATCCATCCATCCATCCATCCATCCATCCATCCATCCATCCATCCATCCATCCATCCATCCATCCATCCATCCATCCATCCATCATGTCAAGTGCATTTGCACATTTGATTCCTGTTAGTCTTAAGGTAAGCTGTTCTCGTTTTCATTTGGAGAGAGACACCCACGCTCAGGAAGAACAGTGCCACCAGTTGCTTGCACGCAGGTCCTTTGTTTCTCAAGTTCTCAGAGAGCCTAGACCTTCAGACTGTCCGTGTAGCATTTTTTCATGTAGTCTTAATGGTGAGGGATTTTAGGGTTTTCAAAATTTGGTAGGGTTTGGAACAGACTCATAGAAAAGTTTAGTTTAATTCAGGGCTTAGGCTGGTCTAGACTTTTTTTCCACTCTCAGACAATAAATGAACCAGCCTTGTCCCAGTGTTAGGTTACTATTGAGATGTCTTAATCTTTCATTTAATTCTGCGTATCTAACATTTTCAACTTTTAAAAATTATTCAGTGGTGATCCATATTTTACAGTTGCATTGTAAACTTCTGTTTCAGGTTCAAATACTTTAAATCTTGAATGATTTGATCCAGTAGCTCCTGGTAAACAGCCAGTTTTGTGTTTCAGGGTGCTGTGTCCGGGTCAGTGCAAGCTTCAGATAGACTTATGAAAGAGCTCAGGGACATTTACAGATCACAGAGCTATAAAACAGGTAAGGACCTTTGGATCTCTGTTGCCTCCTTTGTCCTGATGCTCCTTTCTGTTGTTATATAATAAACGTCATTCCTTACCATCTAACTGAAAGGGAATGGGGAATGCTTGCGACTTTATTTTTGGGAAGTAAAACTCAAATCAAGTTATCAAAAGATGTGTTGTTATTGTTGTTAGGAGCTATGAAGTCAGTTCTGACCTGTAGTGACCCTATCCCTATGCACAACCGAACAAATACTGCCCAGTCCCGCTCCATCCTCACAGTTGTTCCAAAGTTGAGCTCATTGTTGCAGCCTCTGTGTCAGTCCATCTCATTGAACGGCTTCCTCTTTCTCAATGCCCCTCTGTGTACTAAGCATGATGCCCTTCTCCGTGGACTAGTGTCGCTTGACATGTCCAGAATTTGTAAGATGAAGTCTCGCCATCTTTGCCTCTAAGAAGCACTCTGGCCTTCGTTCTATGACAGATTTGTTTGTCCTTTTGGTGGGCCATAGTACTTTCAATAGTCTTCTCCAGCACCACAATTCAAATACTTCGATTCTTCAGTCTTCCTTAGACAATGTCCAACGTACAGCTCCATAGGAGGCAATTGAAAATATTGCCTTGGGTCAGGAGGGTGGGTAGGTTAAAATAGGTATCTTATTCCTGATGGTGATGAATCCTTTGTATTCTGGGACAAGCACAAGTATTCTCTGTCTGTTTTCAAAGTGAATGTAGTTTACTTTGTTACTGTGGAGTTCGTTTTTATAGTCGTGCTCTCCCTTTCTGGAAAACAACACAGTCACCTGTTCTTACAGAGATGCGGCTTTCATTTTAGTGTGGTCCACAGTCAGCACCCATGCAAGCCAGATCTTTTCCGGAAATGCAAAGGGCCATTCCACTCCGCCTTTGTCGGGTCTGTGGGAGTTGGAATGGACTCAATCTTACATCGTGACAGGGATTCGAACTGTATTACACACAAGCCGACCTTTCCTTTGTTTGATGAGATATGATCATTCAGGATTCTCAAGAGTGAACAAATCTGCTTTCTGAAATACAAGATGTAGTCAAGCTTGCCCCTCAGCTAAAAGAAGTGTGGCATGTCTTTCATTGTATTAAGCAACAGTGGATGTCCTTTTCTTGCACTAAGTCTGTAAGGTTATCTGTAGAAATAATTGTGTGTTAATATTTGTGTGCTGGTTGATCTTTAAATATTTAATAGTGACTTACTCATCTCAGGATTATAGCAGAAAAGAAATTAACTCGTATATTAAATGGAATTGGTTAACCGATATGTTCATAAAATAAATTACTATGAAGTTGTTACTAAGATGGGTATAGACCTAAAATATACTAATATAATATAGAACTGTCTTTGAAAATTGAAGAAAGCAGAATGTGAAACATGATAGGATTCCAGTCACATAGAATTATTTGCTTATGAAATAATTATAAATACATATGATTTTGTGTAATCTATTTATCCCCCCCAAAGGGTAAGCAATATCTTGAGTCATTTAAAAACCCTCTTGGTAGTAGCCTTGATTATCTGTTAATGGTGTAGATACCCAGATCCAGTTGAAAAATTATTATAACTTGGTTGTTTCTTATTTTAATAGCAAAATTTCTAGCTTTTGTTGGCTATTTAGTGTTACATACAGTTAAATTAATAGTTGATCAAATGAAGCTTAAATAATTTGCCTATATCTTGACAGGGATTTATTCAGTGGAACTCATAAATGACAGTTTATATGACTGGCATGTTAAACTGCAAAAGTAAGTGACTTATTTGTGTTAACCCACTTCCTGCAATGACAGAGTATTAAAATAGAGATTTTTTAAAAACCCTAATATGATACATGTAAACTGAGGAGTGGTTATTTTAAGCTTTAGACCCCGTCACTATAGAAATAGATATAGAAATAGATTTTAGGTGGCTAGAATGTGCAGTTTCTGAGGCCTAGACGGAAGAGGAAGGAGGGGAAAATCCCTGTGGATAAAGGTGCCCTGGAAGCAGTGAGAGAAGAGTGGAACTTAGGGGGAAAGTGTGTTTCGTAACAATGAGACTGACCGTGATACCCAGGTTACGCTTTTAACCAAGGGACTCGAGTAGGACCCCTATATCGAACAATTGCTTATGACTTGTGAGTCCGTCTTATTCTCTCAGTCTGTGGCAATTGTTTTCTTTGAACTTTTGTCTGGTAATAGAATTTTAGGGAAGTAGAGTTACAAAAAGGAAAAAGTTATCGGCGGTTAATAGAATGACGCTTTGAGAAAACTGTTTGCACATGTCTGTGACTTTTTTCTTTTAGAAAGACTGCTAAATTTGAGTCCCTTTATCAGAACAGATTTATAGTACTATAATCCCTCTTGGATATTTATTCCTGAGGACCTGGGGCTATCGTGACTTAATTTTCTTGTGGAAAAAAGCAGCTTTAGAACAGAGGCTTTAGGGGCAACCTTTTTTAGCTATTGGTTTATTTTGTTTATTTTCCAATCCCGCCCTGTCCCTGAATTGGTTTACTTTTGAAATTATATTACAAACTTTATTATTTTTCTATAATTTTTTTATTTAAACTGTTTTTTGTTTCATGATTCTTAGGGTTGACCCTGATAGTCCTTTGCACAGTGATCTTCAGATCTTAAAGGAAAAAGAAGGCATAGCGTATATTTTGCTTAACTTCTCTTTTAAGGTAAGAAAATATTAGTGGCATTTTCATATGCTTCTAATGGGAGTATGACTGCTTTGGGAAATAATTTAGTATTAGTTGGTAAAGTAGAAGATACTATAATAGGCTACTTAGAGGAGCAAAACCTATGACATATCTAGTTTCTGACGCTGATGAACCCGAAATTTGAAGGTCAGGTATCAAACTGGAGGCTTAATCTGACTCATATGGTTGCAGGGGTTAACCTCCATTCAGCAAGTCAGACAGTTGGTTGCTGGCTTATGTCCCAAGAACCAGAGGTCAGAGGATGATGAGTTCAATTCAGAATCAAAAGAGCAGTACATCCTTACATAGTGCATGCAAGTCACACCCCCAAGGAAACTCTCCTTACATGAGATCATAAAATGTTAGTCAGATGTTGATTGTATCATGTTAGATCTAAGTATGATGTTATCATATTTAGAGATAAGAATGACTTAAGAAGATGTGTATAGTGCCTAGAGTAGTAGACATACAACATTAACCATAACTAGCCAACTCTTGTTAACTTGGCATTGTACACATCTCCTTAATCTCTAAATATAATGTAAAGTTATACTTGCAACTAATAGGATACAGTTAGCTTCTACAATTGACAACACCCGAGACCCATTTACGTCTTATATTTTATTAGCAATGAGTTAAGGGAGGGAAGAACAAAAGTATTTTATATATACACTCACAGGTATATATAATATAACAAATAAAAAATAGAATTAGAGTCCTCATTTCTACAGCTGGTCTCATGGTCACAATTGGTATTTAGAGCTACCTTCTTCTACTACCCAGTCCATGTTCTCTTGGCCCTCAGTACATCCCAGAGCTGGTTGGGGTTCTTTGCCTGATACAGTGACCCAAATGTTCATTCCCAAAGTGTCTTGATTGTCAAGAGTCATAATGGCATTGAGTTGCTGTAATTTTCCACTGATTTTAATCACAGGCTGTGATAGTACTAAAGACGTCCTAAAGGATTTTCTGTATTCCAAACCTATTCTTTACTTGCATTATCTAACATCAGCTCAGTTTCCCTTTGGTAATTAGAATCAGTCATGCCAGCCAATTCACTAATAGCCTTCTTTGCTGTTCACCCAGAGGCCTGAGGAACCCACAAGTTGCCGGGTGACATTCTTAAATTCCAGTTGAATGGAATCAGTGTTGTGGCATTCTGCTCCCTAAAGGTTATGGCCTTGAACAGTGGATGGAGCAGTTTTGCTCTGGCTACACGGACACTGAGTCTGAATCAACTCAGTGGTGACTGTTTGTTCAGAAAAACCTAGGAAGTGCTTCTAAGGAATTCTATTTGAATTATGTGAAGCTTCTTTTTGATAACTTTTCAGTTGACACGAAAAATTAATGCAACAATTGTCTTGCAGATTTTTTTAACTTTAATTTGTAGACTTTTCAGCGTGTCAGGTGCTATAGAGAATTGAGTATGCATAAACATCTAAATATGATGTGTTCTTCAAGAACCTGTAGTTGATCAAACGGGAATCAGTGTGATGAAGGCTGTAGAGCAGTGGTTCTCAACCTTCCTCGTGCCGCGACCCTTTCATTCAGTTCCGCATGTGGTGATGACCCCCCAATTCTTGTTGCTACTTCATGACTGTAATTTTGCTACTGTTATGAATCTGGCAACCCCCATGAAAGGGTCATTTGTCCCCAAAGGGGTTGTGCGACCCACAGGTTGAGAATCGCTGCTGTGGAGCTTTGGAGACACTTCCTGATGAAGTATATGAGGTCACACCTTAATGCTCCAAGGAGATGCTAGGAGTTTTCGCGCAGATTGATCTGTTAGGCTTTCCATTTAATTTTGAATAATGATTGTGCTTCCAGCAACAAAATAAAATAGTGTAATTGAGGGACATTGAATCTGGATAAGGAGTAATGATCTGCTCTCGGGTGGTGATAGTAGGACACAGTAAGAGTAGAGGTGTTTTGAAGGAAGAAAACCAAGACTTAAGAATATTTTCTTTATACTCAAGAAGAATGGCAGTAATTGAACTTTGTGTGTGTGTTTTGCATGTGTATTTTCTTGTTTCATGATATATTTTCACTTAGGATTTATTTAACAGTCTTGGAATAGTCTAAGTATCAGTATTTCCCCTCAATTTGGTTATTGTGGAAACTTTTATTGCCGTTGTCAATTAGTTTTCCTGTAGTGTAATTCAGACATAGATTTGTTAAAGATTCTAATGACTTTGTATTTCTATTGATTTCTATTGAAGAAGAGTGAAATACCCAGGCAAATTAAATTTTAAAAAAGCAAACCAAGTAGGTAATTTAAAAAACATACATGATCAAAATAATTCTTTTAACCTGAACACACTAAATAATATAAAGTCCTATCTTCATAGGGGAGAAGCCCTGGTGGTATAGTTGTTACCTGTTAGGTCAGCAATTTGAAACCACCAGGTGCTCCATGAGAGAAAGACAGGGCTTTCTAATTCCGTAAAGAGTAACAGTCTCAGAAACTCACAGGGGTAATTATACCTGTCCTCCAGAGCTGGCAGTGAGATGTTCATATGCCCAACACCTAACTTAAAAAAACAGGACATTATTGGTACCTTCGAGTCCCACAACGTGCCCTTCCTCTGCCACTTTCTCCTTGGGGGGGATGTATCATTAAGGGGACATGAAACATTGGCCAGGAACTGGATGACTTGTGACTACAGGTGGTTTTTCATTATTTTCTCTGCTCTAGATAGAGCTTTAGGGAGGGGATGATTTGAGAGGTAAATGACTGAGATTCTGGGTGAGGAGAGCCAGCTCCTAACGCATCATCATGGGTCCAGTAGGCACAGAATCAACCATGTGCTCACTTTTAGGCAGCATATCTGTTAGGGGAGAATCTGTGGGAATGAGATTTGTTAGTTTCCCATGATTCTGTGACTTACGATGCCAGAAAGAAGGGGCTTTATGTAGGGATGAAGTGTTTCTTAGGAGACCCGGGCAGTTTGTTGATGTCCAACTGGCATTATGTAGAAGACATAAACCTGAACTGCCAAGTTGATAGCATTGGTTTCCGTAGGCTTTCCAGCATGGCAGGTGTGACTCAGAAAGAAGGATTGACAGGAAGGAGTCAGGACATTTGTGGCCTCATGTGTCCACAGTGACAACTTGACAGTTGTGAATACTAAGACAATGGGACTTGAAGGCGGGAGCAGAAGGGAAATAGGACCCGTTAGAATTGTGAGCAACTTGGTAGGTCTGTGTGCTTTGCTTTTAAAGCCGTGATGTTCCATCCAGCATTTCAGTACCCCTGAAACAATGACTTGTAACTCAAATGCAGTACTTTAAGAGGGCATTTATGTAGATGATTTGGGATTTATTGAGAAAATAGTAGCCAGGGTTTGGAAGGAATTCCGTTCCATGTCCTAAGATAGCTGGTTAAATTGTGGATTTTGAAAGAACAAAGGGATTGCCAATAGCTTATTTATAATTATATGAAGTTCTGTATATGTGGAAGCATTAATATGATTGTGCTTGATAAGCACAAGACATAGAAGTAGAATTACTAAATTAATAAGGAAGTGATTTTTAACTCAATATAGGAAATGATTTATAATTCTTCAGATTCAACTAGTAATGTAGTTTTTCAAAACTAGAATGTTTGCAGATATTTCTTCTGTCCCATATCATCTTTCTAGGACTCAGCATCCATGATAAATCTTTTCAGTAGATTCCTTCATGTGTTGCTTTTTACCTGCATCTTCTGTCTTTTTACTTCTCTTTTATTCTGGATATTTTCTGGCATATTTTCCAGTTTACTACATTTATTTTAGCTAAGTCTGTGCTGTGATGTAAGCACATTAAGTTACTAATTTCAGTTACTGTTTTTTTACCTTTTGAATTTCCACACGGTTCATTATTTATAATTAGTAGGTCTGTGGAAGAGTTTTGAATGTTGTCTTTGCTTGCACATATTCTGAAGGTATTAGAAAGTTTGTCTGATAATTTTATTATCCTGATTCCTTGTGATGTTGTGTCTTTGTTTGCTTGTTTTCCAGTTGTGTTGTCTGTCTCATGTGGCTGGCTATTTTTAGAGATAGACATCAAATATGAAAAATCATTGAGGTAATTTGAAGCCTTGGATGATACTGCTTTCCAAAGAGGACTCTTAATCTGCCTCTGCCAGGGGCTTGGGCACCAGCAACCCAGGATCACCTAATCCAGTGAGGGATTGAAATGACTTAAAACTAGACTCCATTCCTTGTCCATCAGGACAGTGCACACTATTTGCCCTTCAGGTTCACGACCTAAATTGTGGGAGATGTGTCAGCTCCTGCTCTTGGGTGGACCCTGAGCCTGTGACCCCTACTCCATGTCTGAGTTCTTAGTCTTTCCCTCTTCTGGTTCACAGACACTAGATGGGTTTGGATGATAGACTGGTATCGTCATAGGAAAATGTACTCTTTCTTTCATTTATGTTATTGTGGAGAATATACACAGCAAAACAAACACCAGCTAGACATTTTCTGCAGGCACCATTCAGTGACAGTGATCACATGCTGCGTGGTTCTCCCTCATTAACATGAACTCGCTGAGCCTGTAAGGATGCTAGCTCATCTTTCAAGTTCTTGTTGCCACTTTTATCCTATATATCTATTGTGTTAGGATTGACTAGAGAATCAAATCCAGAGACACTCATGTGTATAAGAAAGAACTTTATACAGGCCACTGGAGACCCCCTTGCAGAGCGGTCTCGGGGAGGAGACGAGCCAGTCAGGGGGCGATGTAGCAACGATGAAAAATA